TCCACACAACTGAGAGGCAGACCAAACCTTTTGTAATTATAACAATGCATGTAATAACAATAAATAAAAGTATATACGGCATATTATGTATTACAAACACAATAACTCATATATATTGACCCAGAACCACTGCTGCATCACTGACCCAGTCACATTTAGATACCAGCAACCTGCTGCTGCCGTCGGCCTCCACCCACAGCGACTCTAATATCTCTCATATGTGTTTGGCAGAGACACCAGCCAGCCGTCCACATACATACATTTACATCTTATGTCCTCTAAGAAGAACGCTTTGGGTCGATTTGTCCTTTCAACTCTTAGGAAGGTCGCCTGTGATGCTGTGTCAGGGCTCGTGCTGCTGAACGGCGTGGCAGCTTTGACATCATAGAGCTGCACCACGACGACGGGAACCGTCCGGCAAAGGCAGCTGGACGTGCAAACGCAGTTCTCTTTACAGAGTAGCATCAGCTGCACTTCTCCACAGCAGCCATCCTTGAGTTTAACAGCCCCATCTGTTCTGTGAGACTCTTTGCCGCCGGTACAGAGATAAACGGTGGTTCTATAAGTGAAGCTGTCGAATGCTTCGACGGATTTCACCAGAACTGGTCGATTTAAGAGTTCTTCTATTGCTTGTGTTACAGATCCTGTAATATCCAAATGTCGTGATTTTCCGAGGGGCTCATAAGAGCCACTGTCATCGTTTAAGGGCGAGCGCTGGGCTAATAACTCTGCAAAGTCTAGATGTCGGTTAAAAACCCCAGAATGAAGGTGTCTGGGTATGCGGTGCCACCAGAGAAACCTCTGGTAGATGTGTCGAGGGTTGTAGTCTGTGTCACTTAGCAGAGCTCTTAAGTTTCCGTTGTTTCTCTCAAAGGTGAATGCTGATGTTGCCCAGAGAGGCCCCCAGTTACGCACACTTTCAGATAAATGGATTAACTGGTGACAGTTGAAGGACACATTCTCTTCACCATAAAGTTCCTTCATGTCTTTCACAAAGTGTACCAGGTGCTGATGGGCCAGCTGGAGGTCCTGCTGGGACACTGATTCTTGGAGCAAAACGTGAATGCTGAGTGATAGACAAACAAAATGCTCCAGATATCTGGGTTGTAGGACACCTGGCAGGACGCTAATGCCATAAAACAAAAGGAATGCTCGCCACTCTGATGCTTTCCAACACTCGTAACACTTCAGTGACCGCGGAGGCCTCCTCATCTCTGATGGCGGCTTCAGACCGAGAAGACGGGAGTCCATTTGTGAGACGTGCCGACCCACATACCAGTCCTTCCCAGAGCTGACTGGGTCCAACCACAGACACACAAGTTGTTTGCACACACCAAGCAGAACTGAATGCATGTAGTCAGGTACAAATCCAAGCACGATATCAAACAAGGGAAGTACGGAAAGCAAAGACAGGCCTTTGACCCCATTCTGTGGGTTCGTGAACCTTTCAGCCTGTCTTGCATTTTGCTGAAACATTTCCTTGGACCTCGCTGCTTGTTTCGTCTCATCGTACGGGTAAGACCTCATGGATCCGGAGCCCTTTTTAACCACTGTGCCGGGGTGCAAACACCAGTCACAGCCATACTCTCCGTTGAACTGTTTGCAGTTCCGGAGGAGAGGCCTCGCCACGGCATCCGAGGAGCAAACCAAGGAGAAGACTTTTGAGGAGCGAGCGGTGCCAGTGCAGTCCCTCCACTGAAGCGGATGTTGGGCTAAATCACAGCATTCGTCTACGAAAGGTTTTAGAAATGTGTTCATCTTAGGCTTCTCTTGGCCCAACCACAGTCCTGCAACTATCACATTCTCCTGTCTTTGTGTGTAGGGAAGTTCGTTAATGGTAAACTGAAGGGGCCAGATTGAGTATTGCGGTGAGGTAAAAATCGGTACCTCATCACAGTTCCACAAGAGGGTGAGGTCATCTGCAGCCAGCGTTCCTTGTTGGACCAGGTTCTGGTACAGCATCCCGTCCATCACATCTGCAATTCCATGCCCATGTTTGACTGTTTTAGGTAACAACTCCGTACCGTGGTTCTTCAGGGTGTCTGTGAGAAGGTCTTTCAGGGATGCGAACAAAAAGAAGTTTCCGTTTTGAATGCTGCTCGCTTTGTCGAAAACTGTGGCGCAGTGCAGACAAAATCCACCGGGGTTCTGTCCCATGTAGTTTTGACAGGACTGGCAGTAAAACACGGTGGACATGCCTGCAATCTTGTCAAGTAGATGCTTAGACTCAGCAACCAGAGTAGGGATGAGAAAATTCAGCAGAGCCAGTAAGCTTCCCTGAACCGCCGCAGTCAGACGGTGACGCAAAATGAACAGCATGACAGCGAGCAGGCCTCGGCCTCGGGTCACTGCTGCCCCGGGGTACACCGGCTCCTCATCCTGCACAGGAAACACGTAAAACACTGACTCCACGCTGTGTGCGTCTCGAAAGGAACATCAGGTCAACGTCTTACCGTGTCAGTGCTGCTTTCCGTGTCGGGTGTTGGCTCCAGATTCCACAGAGAAACAGATGGATCCTGTGTGCAGTCGAGGAAGATACAGCGATTAAACTGATGTCTGCTTTTATGGTGCAAATGCAGGAAGCTACAACCAGCAGCTTAGCTTAGCTCCAAGACCGACAACAGATATCTCAGTTCTGTCCAAACACACCATAATCTGCCACCTTTAGCTGTTTTTGTCATTTTTCTGTCGACCACTTTTACTTATTTCGATCAGGTGCGATCACAGAACCAACCGTTTCGGTGCTGTACTCGGGCTCTGAGTTGGTGTCCATCGTCTCACCATCTCTGCTGTTCAGGGCCTGTGGCGGAGACTCGAGTAAATTCAAGGTTTACTTCAAGAGGAAACTCTGGAACAACTGCTGCTTCTTTACTTTGTTCAGTCAGTATTGTTTCTAGGGTTTCCCATATTTGTTCCAATATGAAGTGTCCCTTTGATGGCTACTGTGTCATACGTACTTGCTTGTTCAGCTGCTTTGTCAAACAAGAAGCAGCGTACAGCAGCACATTACCTGTAAATATTCTCTGAGTCGCTTTTTGAATTTCACTCTTGGTCCAATCTGAGGAATCAAAACACTGATGCTGCCGGATTCCTCCAGACTGAGGAAGGTTTCCTTGTCAATGCCTTCTTCTGCAATGCAATAACAGCAAACATCAGCAGTGTGGTGTTACTGCACGCGGTATTTTCATTCATACCGTCGCCAAAGCAGAACTGTGATGCAAAAGTTTACCTTCAAACGGCTGAATCAGCTCACTGAGATCCCATTCGGTTAATCTGTTCTGGACAAAGTGACACGTCTCCATCTGTAGTTTGGTGAAAACATCAGCACAAGCATCAGGACGCCTGCACGTTTCCTACAAAACGTCTGCCGGGAAAAGTCTTCTTACAAACGCACGTCACTCAAACACGTTTCCGTTCTGCAAAACATGCAGACGGAAGAAGTTGTGTAAAGTATCTGAGCAAATTTACTCAAGCAGTGTATTTAATTACAATTCAAAGGTCCTCTACATTTTTAATTCGATCCTACATTAGTATTGTACCGTTTCCCTCCACTACATTACCTATTAACTGCTGGTAGTAGTTCGATTTAAACACTGTTAGACGATAAATGAAGCCTCTCGACAGTAAATAGAACAAGTAAAATCAGCTTAACCTCAGTCAACTACAATATGTAAGTGCTGCTTCATGTTAATTTATCAGAAATAATAATCCAAAACAGGATGCTTAGAGTCCACTTTTAATCAATACTTAAACTGATAATACTTCAGTACTACTTGAAGTGCAGAACTTAGTTTTTAAATTGTGCTGTTGTTGCTTTTATTTAAGTAAAAGATTTCTTTTAAACCTCAGATTGTTTGTGAAATGTACATACAGAAATCTGCTTTGAAAATGTGTTTAATTCCAAATTTCATTTTGTAATTTGGTAAAAAACAATAATAATAAAAAAGAGTCCTGCGCTAAACCAGCATTTCTGTTTCTGTAGGCCAACAGCAGTGACGTCTTGCTGCTGCTTCGATTGTCTGTTGCAGCGTCAGTCAGGAAAACAAATGATGCTCTGATAGTTGAAGGAACCTACAGGTGCAACACTTTACCTGTAAGTATTCTTTGAGTCTCTTTCGGAATTTCACTCTTGGTCCAATTTTTGCGATCAAGACATTAAGTCTCCCCGAATTTCCAAGACTTAGAAAAGTCTCCTTGTCAATGGCTTCATCTGGGAGGACAACAGAAGCGAATGAATGATGATTATTGTTGAGCAGCTTTGGAGATGTGTGTGTTCCTGACTCTTGGGCCGTCACACAAAGTGTTGAAGCGTCTAAAATCGTAGAAACATCCAGTTTGACTGAATGTTTCCGTACCTTCAAATCTCTGCATGAAGTCGCCGAGGCCCCACTCGGTTAATTTGTCTCGGACAAAGTTGGCCGTCTCCATGGCAACTTGCTGTGAAAATGGTCAGCGTTTGTTATTGATTTTTCAAATATTACAAGTATTGCTCAGCAAACACAGTCTGGCCTGAGAGGAACTATAAAGTGCTTTTCCTCATGATGTACATGTTTAAAGCCTCACTAACAGGAAACATAATGAACGTTTGTATTCTCCAGAGCAGGGTTGTAATAAATGTGAGAACTTCCCTCACCAGCACGTTGACATTCAGCTCCTTTAACCATTTTCTCTTTGCTTGTTGTCTCTGCATCCCAAATTTTTCAGAACAGAGAGTGTCCGACCGAACAAGATAATATACAACACTGTTAGACAGAGTGAGCTGGGGAGGGTTTCAACCTTTGAGCTACTTCAGGGGGAATAACTGAGGAAACGGATGTTAACCTGCACAGGGGAACATTTAAGGCTGGACATTGTAGGTGAATGGGAACTTTAACTAATATCGCCATGACAACGTCTCAGTTTATTGTGTTTTTTAAAATGTAGATAATCAAATATGCAAATGAGCTAATCGAATGTATGCAGGTGTCGTAAAATACAGACCATAATATGTATTTTCTGTCAGTGAGGGGAAAACAGTCTCAACATTGATTCCATGATTGTCTCGCCTGTCACGTCTCGCCCTAAATAGACCTCAGACCGGTTTGAATGCTCGAGCTTGTGGCCTCCAAGCGAATGCCAGAATGTATTTGCATTGTGTTTAATTCACATGTTGTGAGACGTGCAGATTCTGTCACTCACATTCAGTGTTTACGACAGCTTGTCTGATCGGCCCGGCTGCCTTTAGTGGTTGAGAAAAAGCGTCAGTATTTCCATTTGACACCACGGACCTCCACTTTCTGCCTTTCTGCTTCATATAAAAAGTCAACACAACTTTATGGTCACACCAATCCGTGCTGCTTTTAACCAAACTACTGATTTACGAAGTCATAAGCTGCTATTTCTGACTTCATAAATCAATGGTAGCAGCGCAGTATTTGCTAGTTTAAGTCCTACTTCTGTTTTTCAGTTAATTCCCTCCTCCGGTGCTCTGGATTCTCTTTTATAATAATAACGCCGCCTCCCTGCACTGACAGAGATCACATCCATGTGCAATCATCCATTCATTTACCTGTTTGGTTTTGTGTTGTGACAGAAATATCAGAAAGGATTTGTGACAATCTCAGCATAGATAAAAGACAGGTTATGGTTGAGACTAAAACACACACCTGAGAGTGGCGTCAACAAACTCCCTCGACGCATCAGACGTCCAGCTGTCCGTATGAAAGACTGTTGAGATTTCTCGAACTGTTATTGAAATGTGGTTCTAACGTGGATTCTTCATTGCAGAAATCAGCCTGAATTGCAAAAAGACACAGACACAGACCTGCAGCAGGCGACCAAAGACGTCAGAACACAGCAGCAACAGACACAGTTCAAAGACAGGCAGCAGGTTATAAACAGACAAGTTACATAAAAAAAAATAAGGTACCGATAAGATGACAAATCAAACTCTGTGAGAGTAGCAGCAGGAACTGAAGCCGTAGTAAGATGCTGAGCAGGAAACAAAGAAGAGCAGAAAGGAGTGGTTCTTCACATGATCAGGAAAGGTTGGAACATTTGAATATGAATAATAGATGGGAGTGGCTGCATCTGAACAGACCAACAGCAGCAAAGACTGAATGATTAAATGAAGGAACTGTGACGTTCAGTTTTCTTTCAGAGGAAACAAAGAGCTCTAACTTTAAAGACATTGAAGTTATAAAAGAGTCAAATCACACTCAGATGTTTAGTTTATATTCACTGTAAAAACTCTGGTTTTCCATTTTGTGTTGTTTGCTCCAAACTCTACCGGTGTTTCTCTGGAACAGATCAGTAGCCTGTTATTGATCGGCTTATCAATACACAGCAGCACAGCAGCATTTACCTCTTATTTCACCATGTGGGTGTAGTTAGTGTGTTTGTTGCTCCTTCATGCACCAACATGTTTGTACTGGTGTTTGATTCCATCGTACTGTCTGTCTCCACCTCTCAGCAGCTGACTCTGCTCTCTGCCAACACTGTCATATTATGTTACTTAAAACACGAACGAGAGACACGTTTCGAACAAACTTCCTGTTTACTCTGCTCCTCTTCTTATTCATACACAGCAGGTTCAATACACAAACACTGGTG